ACAAACGGGGACGTGCAGGCCCAAGAAAGGCGAGTTTCAGGGCGGGTGGGGGGGATGCAGGTCCCATCCCACCTGCCTCCTCCTCGAAGGAAGGACAGAAAGGGAAGTTTTTACAGTAAACAAAACCGACTGACGTGTCTTAACGGGGAAGGATGTCATGGAAAAACCCGACGCCGCAGCCGTTTTTCCAAGAGGAACGGCGAAGCCTGGGGTCGATCCCTGGGGAGAAAAGGAAGGGCTGGCCGAGCGGGAAGGTGTGACACACACACACACACACACACGTACACACCCGGCCCCTACCTCGGTGACACCTCGGAGCCAGGCTGGGGACGAGCCGAGCGCAGGGGGGGGACACCCACCGCATCCCAGAGCGGGCAGCGGGCGCCAGCAGCATCCCCCGGGACAACCGGGGCTGGGGGGTGGATTATCCTCCTCCTCCTCCTCTGCGGGCAGCACCCCAGGACCGGAGTGGAAGAGCCCCGGGGGCCATCCCAACCGGGGACGGGACGGGAGGGAACACCCGGGGGCGGGACGGGATGGGGCGGCCTCCTCCGGGGGAAGCTGCGGGGCGGAGCGGGGTCGCTCCTCCCCGGAAAGGGCGGTCGGTGCCCGAGTTGCGGTGTCTCCATCCCACCCTCCCTCCATCCCATCCAAGATGGTGCGGAAGCTGAAGTACCACGAGCAGAAGCTGCTGCGGCGGCTGGAGCTGGTGAGCTGGGAGGCGGCGGGGGGGAGCCTGGCGGAGGTGAAGGCCCTGCGGCGTTATCGGTTGGGCCGGCGGGAGGACTACGTGAGGTACAAAGCCCTGGCCCGCACCGTCCGCGCCTTGGCCCGCCGCCTGCGCGATCTGGGGCCGGCCAGCGCCGCCTTCCGCACCCGCTGCGCCGCCGCGCTGCTGGAGAAGCTCTACGGGCTGGGGCTGGTGGGCAGCCGGAGGTCCTTAGCCGCCTGCGAGAGCCTCTCGGCCGCCGCTTTCTGCCGCCGCCGCCTGCCCTGCCTGCTGGTGAAGCTGCGGATGGCCCAGAACCTCCGCCACGCCGTCACCTTCGTGGAGCAAGGCCACATCCGCGTAGGCCCCGAGGTGGTGACCGACCCCGCGCTCCTCGTCCCCCGAGCCGTGGAGGACTTCATCACCTGGGTGGACGCCTCCCGCCTGCGGCAGAAGGTCCTCGACTACAACCAGGAGCGTGACGACTTCGACCTGGCTGCCTAAGGGATGCCCTACCATCATCGTCCTGCCCCATGGGACATGCATGGGAATAGACACACAAGGGTGAGACCACCATGGTACCACCATCAGACCCCCATTTACACCCCTGAAACACACCTAAAAGAGGAAAATGTGCTCACTAGTATGAGCTAGGAGGAGAGGAACAACGTCCTAGTAGCCTGTTGTTCTCCAACTCCACGTCATAGAATGGTCCAGGCCAGCAGGGACTTCCAAAGGTCATCTAGTCTGACCTCCCCACAGTCAGCAGGGACACCCTCAACTAGACCAGGTTGCCCAGAGCCTCATTGAGCTTCACCTTGATTATCTCCAGGGAAGGGGATTCAACCACCTCCCTGGGCAGCCTGTTCCAGTGCTCCACCACCCTAATAGTAAAGATCATTCTTCTCTGCAGTTCCATGAGCTTCCTTTCACAGCCAACAGCTCCAATCATCCACGTGGAGAAACGTCCCGTCCACATCATCCATGCCTCCAAGGAAACAGCCCAACTCCATCCTACTTCCATCCCGTAACACCAACATGCTTGGAAAGGTCCCTTCCTGATGGCAGGAGAGGACGCAGTCGGTCTTTAAGTGCTTGGCTGCTAATAGTAGCTGCTGGAAGGGATTTTAAGCCTGGCCAAGCAGCTGGTTTAGGGCTGATTTTGGCAGCTTTGCTGATGCTTTTCTAAGAAGCGGCCCTGCAGGTCACTCCTTCGGCCGATGGGCAACCAGAGGAACTGCTCTTGGAAGGATTTTCTCTTGTTACTGAGGAACATGTATGTGGGGAAATGCTGGGGTGGTTTGGGGTCAGCAGTAAACGAAGAGGCCAAGTACTGCATTTCTGGAACTGTAAAAGTTTTAGCCAAAAATGGAATTAAAAAAAAAAAGACAACTTTCTTTTCCTGTGACGTCATAAAGGGAAGTTTGACTCTCTGACTTCAGTATCTTTGCTGTGTGAGGGGTTCCATCGGACAATTAGGCATCATTTATGGAGCAGGATCTAATTGGAGCGGATCCCTACCTAACCCTACCTGCAAATCTGGGGGGGAACTTTTGCATTTAGCACATAAGCTGAACAAAACCAAGTGCCTGAGGGGGGGCCTGGGGCCTTCTGGGGCTGCTGGGAACTTCGTTCCACTTGGAAATAAAGAGCGGAAAAGCACAAATAAAGCAGTTGTTTTAAATTGCTGAAGAAACGTGTACTATTTTTTATGATGTAGATCCTCTAAAGGTTTCTTCTGTTTTTTAAATATCCCAATTAGCCCTGTTTGTCATCTTGTAGAACTTCTTTTTATGCAACTTTTTTTTATGTAACTCTTTTATGTAATCCCTTCTTTTTTTTTTTTTTGATAGCTACGAGGCTGTTACTGAGTTATGAAGTGGGTTTTCCGCTATTTTTTATGATGTGGATTATCTAAAGGTGTCTTCTGTTTTTTAAATATCCCAATTAGCCCTGTTTGTCATCTTGTAGAACTTCTTTTTATGCAACTTTTTTTTATGTAACTCTTTTATGTAACCCCCTTTTTTTTTTTTTTGATAGCTACGAGGCTGTTACTGAGTTATGAAGTGGGTTTTGCTAGAAATTCTTTCTTTCCTTTACCCAGGCTATGAAAGGATTTGGCAGTAGGATTAGGAGAGGAGCTGTGACTGCCCCTCCTAAATCCAAAGGGCTGGAGTTCAGCTGCAACCACTGCTCTGGATGGTTTTGTGTGGCTTTTCTGAACAGGAAAGGTGTTTAGGTGAGGAGTGTTTTCAAGTTATTTGAATGACCAGAAACTGTCATCAAATATTATGTCTATTCTTTAAAAAGCAAAATAAATGTTAAAATTCCTAACAGTCTTGTGAGCCAAATGTATCAAGCAGAGCAGTAACTTTGAAAGAGATAACAGATATAAAGAAAAAGACACAAAAGAGGTGGGGGAACTCCTTTGCTTATCCTATGAACTACTTCTGTTTATACCTGAATTTATTTCAGTGAAACATCACCTGTAACACCTTAACAACCTTTTTCTCAGGGCATGCACCTGGCTTACGGTAAGAAATGAAAATTGAAAAGATGTTTCTCGCCTGAAGTGTGGCTTTTCTTAAACACCTTTCCAGCTTGCATCTAGAACGTTGTCATTATTTTTGGGGAAATGAAGAAGATGCCTAATTCAGGTGCAGGTAAAAACAGTGCATTCACTCTGCTTTACTCTTTTGGGGGAATTTAAATAACAGCACAGTGACGAGCCCTGTGCAGGCAGTTTTACTGCTCAGTTGCTAAACTGCTGCTCTGCCCAGTCTGTCCAGCCCTGGAAGGAGAAGAAATCTCAAGCCTCCAGCCTGTGAGCCTCTAAGTTACATCATCAGCCTGTTCTTTTTGTCCTAAACTGACCTTTCGTCATTCATCCCTGCACCTCCACCATCCGGCACCTCCAGTAGCAGAAGAGAAACAACCCAAAGCCCTGTAGGCTGTTAAGTTACACTGTGACAGTGGTAACTAATTGATTTCCCTATGGATGCTGTGGGATAACAGCATCCATCACCCCTACTCTCCTCCTGCGGTACCGGATATCAAATCCTTAGGTGCTTTTGAAGAGATGCATCAGGTTGTGTCTTTATGTGTCCCTTTGTGCCATAAGTCTGGAATTCTGTGGCTTTGCTGTTTTTTCAGTAGCTGAGACCTGAGATGCGTGTCCTGCTCCAAAATTTTTCACAGGTGGAGGAGGAGGAGAGCTGGGTCCTCTTCCCGTGCGATAAACGGAGCGTTGTCTCCATCCGAAAATAGAAGTTACATCTGACAGCAGCACGCTCCCGTTACTGCTGGTAAATGCAACCAGGTAGATGATGGCTTCCCTGTATTTTAACAGTGTTTTTGCCTCTATTCTGTGGGTTTGGGTTTGTTTCCCAGAGCTGACGTGCTGCGGCCGGGTGGTTCCCTCAGCGGCCCCGGAGCCGGGGGTTGCAAAGGCACAGGAAGCGGCTCCGACAGCCTTTCCCGGCACTCGGATAAACACAGAGGCTTTGGTTTTTTTTTAAATTCCCAGGCTGGATCCCACCCTGCTGTAAATCATCACCAGCTTCTGTGGGTCCACGTGAGCTGGCACCAGGAGGTGATCCGGCGTTGCACTTTTTGGGGCCAGATCCTGCAAACTCTCCAGCCCTCTGGGAACTTGCAGAGGGAGAACTTACGTGCATGAGAGTGGCAGGATTGGGTCATGGCTGTCCCCATGCACCTTCTGAGGTGGGTTTGTTGTTCCTCAGGCTGCTCAGCATCCCCCTGAAGCTCATGAGGCGATGCTGGTGAAGAAGGAGGATGGTGCTGGTGTTGGGGCGAGCTGTCCCTCTACCTGACAAAACCTGATCTCTGCCACCTCTGCAAACATCCATCCTGGCAGGGGGGGGACTGGAGAGGTGCCACCTTCTCCTGTGAGGGAGAAAGGGGCTGTGGGGAGCTCTGGGCAGTGCAAGGGCCATCAGAGCAACTGGCGAGTAGTTCCCTCACAGGAGCTCTCGCTTGGACAGTCAGCAGAGGTCAGGGAGGTTTTATCAGGGCCTATAGCTTTTGGGTTTTTTGTTGTGGGTTTTTTTTTTTTTTTTTTTTTTTTTTTTTTTTTTTCTGGTCTTGGCTTGAAAAAAAAAAAAAAAAAAAAAAAAAAAAAAAAAAAGTTCTAGGAAAAATATTAAACCC